CTTTTTTTTTTTTTTTTGCTATTGTTCTGATTGTAATGAACAGGAATTTTATATTCATTTGTCTTATGGAAATTGTTCTCTGGAAACCATCTTGCCAAGGAAAAAATATCTTTTCTGGGGAGATTCAGACTCAGAGCTGCAAATGATTCTGGCAGGATGAGCATGGAAGGGAAAGAATATTAGCAATTGGAAAATGGCTTTGTTGCCAGAGGCTCTGTGTGATGACATTAGAAGCCCTGTGATAGAATTAGACTTGAGGCTATGTGCAGGTCTGGTTAAGCTCAAAGCACCCAATAAGCCACCATGAATTGATTGTAAGACAGCCATAGAGGCAGATGAATGCACCTTTTATTATCTCAGGGATGGAAGTCTTATTTTGAAAGCCACAGCTTGGGGATGGTGATGAGAAATCACATCTCCAATCCTAGACGACCACAATCACACAGCCCCACCTACCCCATCCTTCAGGTTTGGTCTCCAGCCCCATCATACACCTTCTCACTTGGAAAAGTTCCAACATAGAACATCCCTGTAACTCCAGGGAAAGGGAAAAAGAAGAGAAAGGGAGAAAGAGGAAGGAAGGAAATACTTCTCTGCTTTGCAAGTGATTTGGATGTTGTTGGCAGTGCCAGCCAAGAGGAAGCTGCTCTGTCCTTAGACACCCCACCCGCCTGGGCACCTGGGATCCATTTTCCATCTGGTTTTAATCATCTCAGCCAAACTGAGGACTGTTTGTTGGTGGTGGTGAGGTTTTTTACTCCTTAAGTTTCCCATTAATTTTGTCCTGCCTCAGGTTTGTTTTCCTTCCTAAAATGCAAGTCTTGAATAAATTCATTTGTTGCTCATGGGAATAAACTGCTTCAACAGAGCCAAAAACATCTTCAGACCATAAACATGTTGATTCACCTGTAAAATTTGCACGTGCTCCAAAAAATTTAACAGAACTGTGCTTTTTAGAGAGGGCATGGCCCTCTCTCTTCCTGGGACACAGAGGCCCCAAAGCTTTTCCAGAGAGCTGTCCCCAAAAGCCGATGGAAGAATGAATGGGTGGCACATCAGGGAAGAGCTTAGACTTGCTGTCTGGTTTCTATTAAGACCTTTCTGATTTTTTTTTAATACCCAAGCACATGTTTATTTTCATAAAATAAGAGTTTTAATCTTGGACATTGAAAATAAATATATTTTGTGTTTTCCAATTTATGATTGGTTGTATCCGTGGATGGTTTTATTTGGTTTGATCTATGCTTCATTTTGTTAAAAAATAGCCTTATTCCTTAAAGAAGCCACAAGTAGTGGTGCTAAATCAAGCTGAGACATTCACCCAGAGAATTAGGGACAGCTAGGGGAGATAACAACAGATAGAGGTAACAACAGAGGCCTGATGGGAACAGAATGCCTCTCTAGGAAATCATCCAGTACCTGGACCCCAAATGGGGAGGAGACATTTTCACAGGGACCATGTTGATCATCATGACAAGCCCCTGCCCAGGGTTTCCCTGGGTGGGAGACCAGACTTTGGTATCCTGCAGCAAGGGAGCCTATGGGTCAGCACACTGTCCCTGCCACTTGCCTTGTTCTTCAGGGTTTGGTGGCCCATGGGTTACCCTCTTCATACAATTTAGTGGCTACTGAGCATCCACTGTGGTCCTAGAAATAGTTGGTCACCTTAAAATGACTTTGCCCAAGTTGCTAAAACCAATTAGAGAGAAACAGAGTTGCAGTGACTTAAAGGATGATATTTAAAATGTATAATATGATGAAGTGAAGAAAACAGGCGTAATATTTCCAGTATGGAAAAAGAAAACAATGTACCAGTAATAAAAGACTAGAGGAAAAAATGTTGAAAGTTTAAAAGTAGCCTTATCTGTACTCCGTGTTTATGGGTTATTTTTGTGTTTCCTGAATTCATAATTTCATGTGTTATGTGTGATTTCTAAGTATGGCATAAATCGCCATGTGTGGTCTATCCTCTGGCCAATGAATATTTCCTGAGCACATACTGTGTGCTTGGCACTCTAGGGAGAAGCGAAGGGAGAAAGTCGAATGCCTTTACCTTGATCTGTCTCCCTCCAGGGCTCTGTCAGCCCAACCCTCCTCCAGTGGCTGAGCTTTTATTCTCTTCTCAGGGTCTGGGCCCTCTCTGGTCCCGAGGGCCCATTCTGTCCTCCTCTAGTCCAATCATGGGGATCATCATGGCTGCCCTTCCTTTGGGCCCTTCTCAGTGGTCAGCAGTCAGCAAGGCCTCTCCTGACACTCAAACTCTATTCCCCTTAGCCTGCCCACACTTCCTTTGCCTCACTGGTCACTGTGCATCTCTAGAGGAATGTGTGACCTCCCACGAATATGTGATGTCTTGGAGGAAGGGGTCCTTCTCTTGTTCATTGCTGTATACCTAGCATCTAGAACAGTGCTTGGCACATAGTAGACACTCCATAAATAGAGTTGAACGGAAGTCGGGTTCTCTTCTTCAAGGGGAACACTTGGGACTCATGTATTTAAAATATCAGGAATGAATATCAACACACAAGTTCAGGTGATAATAAATACGCCTCCCCACCTCGGCTTTAATGGACGTTATTGCCATTCATCTGAGTTTCCACTGAGCTGGGCAAGTGGGAACCCTCATCTCAGTTGTTCCTCCCCTCCTGTCTCTTCACAAATGCCCAGGGTTGTGGTCAGGGTTACAGAGTCCTAGTAGTGACAGAGATTTGGGGGAGAGTCTTTTGCCAGGAGGCTATCACATCCTGCCTGTCCCTGTGGGCCCTCACGCCTGGTGTCCTCCTGCTGCTCCCAAGAAAGGCTGAAAACCTCATTCCCTGTGGCTGCAGCCCCCTAGAGGCTCCACCTGGCAGTTCTCCCTCTCTAGGGTCTGGCATGGCTGAGCCTCACCCAGAAGCAGAACCCACAGAACTGGCTCCATTGGGGAAATTACCTTAAGTCTGGCATTTCTTGATGTTTTTGCCAAGGCATTCTGCTTCCTCAGATATTCATTCCTGACATTTTAAATACATGAATCACAAGCGTTCCCTTGAGGAAGAGAACCTGACTTCAATTCAACAATGTTTAATGAGTGCCTACTATGTGCCAAGGACTGTTCTAGATAGCAGATATACAGCAATGAACAAGAGAAAGACCCCTTGGGCTTCTGGCTTTTGGAAAGCAAAAGACAGAAGCACTCTCAGTATCCTTCTGCTTGTCATTCTGCAGCTCAGCTCCCTGAGGCAAGGCCCTCCAGTGTGGAGTCCATGGATTCTGGCCAGAATAGCAAAAGAAAAGGGAAAACTTTACATAACTGACAGCAGGCGGGGATGTGTGTTTCAGAAATAAGACAGAGCATACACAGCAGAAAGTGGTTTTATTTGGAAGAACGGAGTGGAGAAAGAAACCAAAGAAGGCAGAAGGCTTAATGGCATCTTATATTTTTAATTGGGCCTTGAAGCTTGGCAGGATTTCATTTGATGGAGCCTGATGAATAGAAGGAGAGGCAGGAGCAAAGAGAAAATGGGTGGTGTGTGAGTGAAGGTAAATAATCTCTTCTGACTTGATGCATTTGAGCAGTGGGAAAAGAAACCAAAAAAGGTACCTGGAGCCAGTTTGTGGCAGGCCTTCAAAGCTCGGGGATCTGTGAGGGGAGTTGACGTCATCCTGGCAGCACTCCGCAGCCATGGAGTCAGGGGCTGAGCAGATCAGGTTGTGCACAGAAACTGAAGTAGCAGTGCTGTCGAGGGTGGATAGGAGGAGGGGCTTGTGGAAGGCTAGAAGCAGGGTTGCCTTCCAGTAGCCTCTGCAATGGTCTAGAAACCGAAGGGGAAGAAGAGAGAGGCCAAAGGTGCTGCTGAAGTAGAACAGAGAGGCTTTAGCCATGGGTTGAATATAAGAGGACAAGGGAAAATGGTGACTGTAAAAATGGTCAGGTTCTCAGCAGACTGGAGAATTGCAGACACTTACATTTCAAATGACACAGGAAACTAGAACCTGTAAGGACCTGTTCTGAGACTCCAGCCTAGTAAACATGAAGATTTCCCGGAGACAGCCAAGGGAGTGTGCTTGTGTGGAGGGAGAGGTGACCAGTCTGTCATTTGAATCAGAGTTTGCATCAGCTGGAGCTGTGGGGAGGAGCTCAGAAGAAAGGTCAGGACGTTGTGTGATGGGAAGAGAATGGGGGTCCGGATGCTGCTGCAGCAGAAGCCAGGTGCCAAGGCAGGCTCGCTCTGGTCTCCTCAGTCCAGTGGAAGACGAGCCCTGTGTGGAGAGGAAGGGGGCACTTTGAAGCTTGAGCTTGAACACAGTTTGAAGCAGCTGCATGGCAGAACATAAAGCATCAGTTGCTGAGGAACAAAAAGAAGACTCCTGCAGTCTCACATTTTCTTTCTTTGTAAGTCTGAGGCAGGAGGAATGCAAGTTTGAACTGGGCAGCTTAGTAACTTAGAAGACCCTGTCTCAAAACTTTAAAAAAGGAGAGGGTGGGAGTAACACACACACACACACACACACACACACACACACTCAAACAACAATAGCAACAAAATGATCTGTATCCTTTGATGGTGATTTTGTGAAATTTGTCCAGGCAGACATGAGAAGAATAATCTTATGGCCTTTAGATTGTATCTTCAGTTTGAAGCACAATTAAGTTTTTATGCTCTTGGGATTTTGCTAGAAAATGCTCTTCCTTACTTACAGGTATGACATTATTTAGAAATTTACTTTTTAGAAATTTAATAAGATGCCAGAATCTCTCAGCATAGTACACATGGAAAAAAGTAGCTGACTATTCGGTGCCAAGCTCCCTCACTTACATGGTCTGTTTCCTGCTGTTGAGATTCTGTCCCAAGACAAATTCACTGTCACTTGCTCTCTACTTCAAATGCCAAGCTGTTTGCTTTGCTTGGTGGCTTTGTTTGGGCAGAGGTGGAGAAACAGTTCATCACAAAGGCTAGTAATGTTTAGGGCTTCCAAGGTGGCTGTTGGGCCTGCTCCTGAGCTTCAGAGTAGGTGTGAGCCCCAAGCTCACTGACCTCTCTGGGGAGGCTACCAGATGTTGCATCAAATGCTTCCAGAACTTATCTCTATTTAACTTTTATTTAATTTTTGCTACTGGGGGTTGGACACATTAAGTCACTAAGTTCCTGGGGCTGGACTCAAACTTTAGATATTCCTGCCTCAGCACCCCAGAGTGCTAGGATTACAACACTTACCTACCTCTTTTGGTGTCTTTTCCAAGACTTCCATACTATTCTTGTCCCTCTAGATTCTGGCCTCTGGTTTTCATTTTATGCTACCTGCTGTTGGTAATGTCGGGATTTGCATAGAGCAAGAAGTAGGAAAGAATAACACACACACCTCCACGTGGGTGTTGGCAAGAGTAGCTTTAAGCCATCTGGTTTTGGTTATCATATCTGGACATATTCATCTGGTAACACAGGATTGCTGAATTCTTCTTCTCTTCCTTGTAATGCTTCTCAATTGAATATGTGACTATGAAATCATTTTACTGTATTACAGCTGAGAGAGAGAGAGGGAGAGAGAGAGAGAGTCCACTGAAGAGTTGGAAATAACAGAAAATTTGGAACTGGGGTTCAGACTCACATGCTCCCTGGACTGGTGCCTCCTCCTTCTCTCTCTAACCAGTCAGAAAGGAAAACTTTTGAGCATAGAAACAAAGCTCCACAGAGCCTGGCTCAGTTAAAATATATTTCTTATGACAGAGGGAGGACACTAGAACTTTAGGGACATATTTTGAGGCTCCAGTCTAACAAATGTCAAGGTTTTCCAAGGGAGAGGCACTCATTTGAGGGAGCTGTGATGTATTAAGGATTCCATTTCCTTTGCCCTACACAGCCCTACTCGGGGAGATGCATCTTGCTAAAATTTCACTCTGAACAACCTCATCTGAATAAACAAAACACTTCTACATTTCTCCCTCCATTCTGTCTGGGGTCAACTTCAGTTTTTCAGGGAAACATCACTCAAAGCCTTTTTTGATAGAAGCTATATATATATATATATATATATTTTTTTTTTTTTTTTAAGTTGTTTATTTTTTCTCCAAAGCCTCTAGCATTTCCCTCCATTGAGTCACACTATGGAACCATTTCAAAAAATCCTCCTTAAAGAATGTTCCCCTCTCTGGGGGAAATGGGAACTTGGTAAAGGACAGCCTGTCAGCATGCTCCCATCCAGCATGTGAGGACTTTAGTAAAGAAATTCCATTACACATGCCACTGAGGCAGTTAATGGAAGGACTTTCAAAGAGATGACCTTCTTCTAGATCTTTCCCTGGCTCTCAGGAGACAAGATGGGAAAAGGGAAGCATGATCATTACGGATTTATTCTAATCATCTTAATATGGGAGTCTTACCTCCTATGCTATCATTATAGAATCTTAGGGTTGTCAGTTTAGAATTCAGAGTTTGCAACAAAAAAATGAGCTATTAGAGGATGGAGGATAAAAATTAGAGGAGAGAAGGCAGATGTACTGGGTGCCCAGAGCCTCACCACTCTTGAGGACTAGGTTCATCACTAGTGCTGCTTATTTCCTGAGAGTTTCCAGCCTGCTACCTCATTCATTGGCTCAAGTAGTTGTCACTCCTACTCTCTGCTGCACAGCACTTTGGGCTTTCCTCTATAAAGCACATAGCACTCTGGGATTAGTTCTTTGGGTAGTGGTCACTCCCTGTCTCACACTCTCTCCCCCACTCGAAAGGTCTGCAGGTCAGGGGAGTGGGAAGCTTTGCTTGTGTGTCTTTAGCACCCACAACAGGTCCTGTCCCCTTGATGGCTCTCTGTGGCCCACCACGATGAAAGGCTTTGAAGCATTACTGAATCAGGCATGCAAGGAACTTCCTGTTCATGGGGCTGATGGATAGAAATACTGGATTTTCCTCCTCTCTACAGATAACATTCTTCCGTCCTTCAGCCCTCTCAAGTCCTTTTTTTCCCTGTTTGACTCATGTACAAGAATGTAATGTATCATCAGAAATTGCTCACTGTACGGGTGAGTTTTTATTGTATTATACATTGGGATATTAGGAAAACTACCGATGACTGTTCCTGCTGAATGACAAGCCTGGAGAGATTGTCTTTAATCCTTTGCTGAGCTTTGACATCTGTACGTGCTGGGCACTTTTTGGCTTTGGGCTGTCGGGGGTCCAGGTGCCCTTTCTTCTGGTCACCATATCGGCTTTCTTTTGGTGGTAGTCCTTGTGGCTTACCCATTGGGTGCAGTCTTGGGACTGGGATGAGTTACCAGTGGCCTGCAGTGGGTGTGGTATGGAATTGGTGAGGGGAGGTTTTTCCTTTTAACTTTCTGCAATGAACAATTCCTTTTACTATTTGAAAATTAGCAGTTTAAGAAAAAGATTTATGTTTGCCCCAAAGATCTAGCTAGATGCAGCAAAGTTTCCTGTGAGATCCATTTAAGCAGTATGCACAGCCCCGGCCTCCTCCTCAAACACACAGAGCCCAGGCAAACGCATAGCTCTGAGTCACACTCCTGAGGTTGCCAGAAATCCCTTTAAAATGATTGAACAGATGTCTTTCCCTGGGTTCTAACAGATATAAATCACAACAGTCTGCTTTTAATTCCTAGGCTTGCTGTTTTAGGGGCAACAAAATTAATTACTTTCAGATTTTTTTTCTGAAATGTTTTTTAAATCTTCAGGATTTTAATAGCAATAACTACTACAACATGCAAGAAAAAGTAAACACATCTGTGCAGGTAGCTGTATGTCATCCCAGGGGACAAACTCTTCCTGTGACAGTGGAGAAAATGGCCTCAGCCCGTCATCTTTGGGCCAGGCTTGTTGGCTCCAGAGCTCTGCACAAGGAATATCGTTTCTGAGTTTAGAACTAGGGGATTAAATGGCCTACGACTGACACTCTTATCACCAGCTATGACAGCAGGGGTGCTGTTATTCACAAGAAGAAAGGAAAGGATCCCAGACCTTTTGTAAATCAGGGTTTAAGTCAGGAAACTTGTTGCAAGATCTCAGGCCTTGGTTTCTGGCTGTATTTATCATGTTTTTGGTCCATGAGAAAAGATAATTTGAGAACTTCATATAAATAATTAAATGACAACTCAGTAATTTCCTGAGAATCACAATTCAAATGTGCATTAGCTCATTTTCAGTAGAGGGGATTCTGCCTCTGAGAGTTTCCAAAAATCTGATTAGCAAAACTTTCAACATAAGGCACATCATGCATTCCACTGCCTCTTTCTTCCCTCCTATTCTCCTTACCTTCCTTTCTCTCTTCCTCCTTTCCTACTTCTTTCCCCCTCTCCTCTCTCCTTCGTTAGATGCTTTTAAACTTAAAGAAAATTGCTGCAGAATTTAAGGCTACTTTTGAATTAGACTTTTTCTGTCCTCTCAAGAAATGGTTTGTACATTTCTTTTTCTGTCAATACTATCTTGGAAACATTGCTGATGGGAGATGTAGCTCAGTGGTAGAGTATTCACATTGCATGTGCAAGGCCTTGGCTTAGATTCCCAGACAGATAGACAGACAGACAGACACATGCTGAAGACATACCCCCAAAATGTGCTTTTCTGTTTATAAAGTATGATCATGCCACTACTGTATAAGTGATACTTATGTTATGAAATTTTAATCAAAGTGAAAAGGAATAAAATACAGATGAAATTTAAAATACTTTAAAAAATTGTATTTGACTTTTAATAACGCAAGACATTTTTGCTTTCTAAAATATTAATGCTGTTGATAGGATCAACATGTTGAATAACTTTTAATATTTTCAGATATTTTTGAGCTACCCTTTTATAAAATAGTAATTAAACCCCTGGTTTTATGTTTCCTTTATTTCAATAACTGGTTCAAAGACCAACTGAAGGGCCGGGAATGTAGCTCAGTGGCACAAAGCCTGCCTGGCAGGCACAAGGTCTCTAATTTGATCTCTGGTACCAAAGAAAATAACAACAAAAACAACAAAATAAAGTCCAACTAAAAGATATTTCACACCAATATGTAGATCCAAATGAAAGAAACGTCTCATTCCACAAGCTGAACTCCCAAAGCTCATTTCTCAATCCCCTCTAGATTTTATATAAAGACTTTTGTTGGTATTTTCTTGGATTTTAGGGATGTTTTCATTTTTGTAATGTGCTTGTAATTAAGATGGAAACATTTCCAAACATCTGTTTTCAAAACACTGTTGCCATAGATTCAAGTTTCTTTTAAAAGAAATTAACTTTCTAATTGTGAAATTACCACTTTTACCTTGCAAGGATGGACTGTACAGAATTTGCTTTTTAAAATAATAAACGATACCTGTTAAGAGACACACTCACAGTAGCCACTTGCTGTGACAGGAGTTGACAGCAAGTCTGTAGCGCTCGTCTTTATCAAAGAAAGACTGTATGACTGCTTCTAACTAGGGTGGTACGAGACCCAAGAGGCCACCCCCTTTCATGTGACAAGTGTTATAAAGGCCTTACTGTTGGAAGGTTTTGTTTTTATAAAATTAATCACACAAAATTAATCACAATGACAACATCCTATATGCCTGTAATTGCAATTCTTGGAAACATGCTGGACCCAGAGCCATGAGAAATGCTTCTCTGGGGCCTTCCTCTCTACAGCTCCCACTCCGTACTGTTGTCTGCTGACAGTAATGACTATCACATGGGTCACTGGACTGTCTTCACATCTGGGCTGAGGGAGGGCATGTTGAGTATCTAGAGTTAAATATTAGTAAGGCTTACTATGTTCTCATTTTGAAATGAAACAAGTATAGACATTCTAGAATTTTCTCCCTGCACATTAATGAATTGTCTTGAACATCCCATAGAAGGTGCAAATGCTAGGAATCTCTCCAGTTACATTTTAAAAACTTGTTTTTCTTTAGTCTCTGGTCTACCCTTTTCTCCCTTTTTTTGTAAAACAGATTCAGATTCCATCTCCATGGGATATCAGCCTCTGATGAATTGGCAAGGGTTGCTCCTGGAGGGTCTGGCAAGTTGTGTCCTTAACCTTCTCCAATACTCCCCACTGTCTTAGTACCTGGGGCAGACAGGTAATAAAAATGAAAAATCCATGATTCCATTTATTGAGCTATTATTGTGCACCAGCTCCTATAGGGAGAGCTTTGTAAACACAACTGAATCTCTTTGTTCATTGTAGCTATATTCTAGAAAATCTCCATTAACACTGAATTAGCAAATTCTGAGCCATTGCTCCTAAGGGAAATGTAAGATTAGGTTGCTTCTAGCTTCTCATCACCACATTCCTGTCAACCTATCAACACATAACCTTGTTTTGCATATGTTTCTTAGTCACCTTACTCAATATATATTGTTGATTCATCAATATTGAATTTAGAGCCAGCAGTTTAACTCAGGACTGAATGAAACTTTTTTCCATAAAGCACATGAGTGTGTGTGTGTGTGTGTGTGCGCACATGTGCGTGCACGTTCTAGAGACACTAGACAGCACTTAGGTACTACGTTCAGGATCATTTTAGACAGCAAAATCAGCAATGCTAAGCATTAAAAGCACAAAAAGTGGCACTAAGCACAACTGGAAAAGGACACTTGTTTCCAGTATGGAAGCTGGAACAAAAAGGTAGAGTGTCCCATTTGTTCTCTTTCCTTTTTTTCTTTTTCTTTTTTATTTTGGTACTGGGGATTGAACTCAGGACCTTGCTCTTGCAAGGCAGGCGTGGCACACTGAGCTAAATCCCTGGCCCTCATTTGTTCAACCTCAGTTGGGAATGTGTATTAGACAACTCAAATTTTTTACCACCTCTGTGCATGACCTCAAAAGATCACTGTGAAATTTAGAGAAATGGACATTATAAATCAATGGAAAGTTTTAATTCAGATCAAAGTAATTAAAGCTTACATGAAATACGGACCCAGTATTAATAAATTAGT